ATTAAGTGTTAACGAGCAGTTGGACAGGTGTACCTAATAAAGTGGCCGGTGAGTGTATATTCTCAATTAGGTCTGTTTTGAAAAGAATATAAATGGTGTGAAATTTGTCACACTTTAGTGAGTCAGAACATTCACAATTTTTACTCAAAAACACAGAAGCTGTTTTGTTTTTTGTTAAATAAAGGATTTTATTAAGGGGAAAGAAAATCCAAACCAACATGGTCCTCAGTGTAAAAGTGGTTTTGGTGGTGGTTTGAGGCTTTTGCTGCTTTAAGACTTGGAAGTCTTGATATGATAAATAGATTCTACCATCCAAAAAATAAAGAAATCCTGGAGGAGAAATGTCCAACCATTTGTTCGTGGCCTCAAGCTGAAAAAAAAACTGGGTTTCTGGGTACCAGACAATAATCCAGAACAAAACAGCAAGTCCACCTCTAAAATAACTGAAGAAAAACAAACATCACCTTCACTCAAATAATACTTAGAATCATTGTTTGCTTTACAGCCATAAAAATCAGGAATTAGCTTTTTATTTACCACGTCTAAGACATGTATCAAAGAAAGAAAAGAGAACAGAAAAGGGTTTTAGTTTCCAGATTTTTTTTATTCCTTATTCAGTTTTCTAGAAAAGTTCTAAATAAAGTGCTGCTTCTACTGATTTATATAAAATGTGCTCCTATTATCTTTACATTGCAACATTTCCCTTCGATTCCCTGTGCATTATTTGACCAGATATTGTTTTTTTATCATAAAGGATTAAACAGGGAGCAGGTTCTCTGTGTGAGGCACCGCACAATGGCAGCCCACTGCTCCCCAATGGGATGGGTTAAATGCAGTGAGTTTCATTGCTTTGTACTTGTGACAATGTAATGACAATAAAATTTAATTCTATTCTACTTTAAAAGCTCAAACCTAAATCGATTTGTGGGCCCATTTTTAAAACCTTGTATGGTTTTAAAATTGAGTCTGGTTTAATTTTTTAATGTTTATTCAAACATTAAACATGTTAAATATGTACCAACTCATCAATTTACTGATTGTAGAACATTTCAAGCCTGATTTGGAAAATTCAGTATAGATCAGACTGGAATGTATGGAGCTTACAGATCATAAACCCAGATGTCTCTTATAAAAAAAAATATATTTTAAATGTATATATTTTAAGCACTAAATTTAACAATAATAATAAAAAATAAAAAAATCAGCTATCCTGTTGAAGAACCAATAGGTGGTGCTGCTATACAGCATAAGAAGTCAAAAAATATTATACTCTACCCTCAGTTAAGTAAAGGAAATTTAAACATTTTAATGAGTTAAATGAATCTGTCTTCATTATAAACACATCTGTATGAAAAAACACATTCAGAACATCGAATTAAAAAGTATTACAGTACATTTTACAAAGGTTATGAAATATATTAAGCTGTAATCAACTAAATAATGAAAGAGTTTAGGAACAGATCATAATCTGTACATGAAGTGTGCAAAAAAGTAATGCCCCATTTCTGGGCTTTCATATACTGGCAATGAAAAGAGTCTGTTAGTTTCCTCCAGCTCATGAATAAAAGTCTTTTCTCAGTCAGTAACAGACAAAATGTGCAAAAATATACAGATAGGGAGAAACGGCGGCAGGAGTCGCTGCGGCGTCCCCTCAGTAATGGCTGAGCTCTTCTGGAGGACGGGAGAAGTTGTAACTGTCCTCACTTCCGATGTAGGCGTTTATGCCGCTGTTTTGGCTTCCCCACTCGTAACTGTCCGCAGCCAGACTACAGAACGTTAAAAATACAGCATCCGTTATTATGCATCACCCTTCCATCACTTCCTGGCAGGCTCGGACTGGTAATCTGTGATACCGGGCATTTGCCAAGTGGGCCGGTCCAAATTTCAGCATGCAAAGGCCAGCCTTCCTTAAACCATACTGGCCCCAACACCTATTTTCTGACCAAAGCACCTACCTGTGACAGTAAATAACTCAAGTAGCTCAAG